CCCCAAAACCCCAAAACCCCAAAACCCCAAAACCCCTCCGCTCAGAATTTAACTTTTTGAATTGTTATTGCATTTTTCAACAATAATTAAATCAACATTAATAAAATGGGTTGTTGTGCAAGTAAAAACTAGCATTTGAAGACCTAAATTCCTCTAGAAAGTGGCTCTCATAGGCCAACATTAGATTAAAACAGCTAAAAAGGTCTCAAAATGAGGCAAATGGTTAAAGCCCCAGAATTAATTGGAGAAAGAATTTCAGAGAAGGAAAAGGTAGATACTCCATTGCTAACTGAAGATAATCAGAACTTTATCTAATCGTCTATTGGGGCAGGTGCAGGCCCATAAACTAATGAGAATTCTAAAAGTAAGAAATTGATCAGAGTTGAAATGTACGAATCAGTTGAATAACAGTAGAAGAAGGAGAGGATTAACCAGTACTTTGATATATCGCCTAAAATTCCAAAGAAAAACAAAATATATCACCTTACAAACGTATTTCCTGTCAGCAGGCCCTATTCAAATTTGTCTGATTGGTAAAAAATACTCCAAAAAAACTAGCAAATGACTGAAGAGGAACTTGTCACTAAGATATTGCAACTAAGAAATAGAAATTGGATTCAAGAGCAGATTAATCTTCAAATTGAAATTCAATACTAGAATACTGCTTCATTCGAAAGTCTCTTAACTTACAGAAAGAACATTTAATTGAGAGAGCATTTTAACTGGTTTGTTTGGTCGATAGGGTAGTTTTATTTTCATCAGAAGCCATCTGAGAATGTATTTAATCTGCCAAAAGTAAATACGAGAAAATGGACTGATGGATTTGAATTTAATGGAGTCTTTATCAGAGTGCTTCCATATGAGGATTCCTACTTTATTCAAAATGAGATTTTAGCCTTGAAATATGTGCAGTTAGAATTACTTGAACTTAACTCAATGGCTATTTAGATCTAGCAGCAGTACGGTAACATGAAAGATTCTTTACATAAAGATGTAATTTTACCTTTAATTACTGGTGTCAGCTGTGGTGGTTTTTACCTCTATGCTTCCCCGGTCATTTACACTTAAGAACTTGACCCTACCAAAGAATACTTCAATTAAGGATTAAATGGAAGTAAAATCTTCTAAGGTTAGGGTTCAGGTGTTTACAATGAGAGAGGATCAATTCACATGTAGGCTATTATGAATCAAAGCAACATGTCATTTTCATACTTACATAATAACATCTCACCAGAATTCATCAATGATTCATTGTTCAAGTTTATGCCAATTTTGAAGAATATCAATACAATAAACATGATTCCAATCATAGATTTTGAAGATTACAATAAGAAGGTGAATGAAGAATAAAAAGAGGACATCGAGTTGAAGTACTTTTTGGTAAACTTGTTTGATGTTTTACCGAAGTTAAGTGAAACTAAAGCTGCAACTTAATTAATAAGATTTCCTTCATTTATAAATGAGGAGATTACATTCCATGGATTTCCTTCAAATAATCTAATTGAAATGAGGGAATTGAAAGACTTGATTAACTCCTAGAGCGAGCTTGATATAAATGCTGATGATGAAGAGGAGTACCAGCAAGATATAAACAGTGTTTTTACCAAAAAATATTTCGCTAAGCATGGATGGGACTTCATCTTAATTTAGAAAAAAGGTATCACCAATGAAAATAAGAGAGCTTCATCATTTTATCTATCAAGAGAAATTCCTTTAATGAAACGATAATAGTAGGATCAAAGTGGTCAAAATAATATTTTATTCGTAGATGAGTATATACCAAACTAATAAGAGGAGCTTAAACAACCATCTCAATTTATGTCACATCATAAGTTGTCAATTTTTAGAAGGAACGATTCGTCTGCAGAAAAAGATAGTAAAATTTGTGGAAATGTTTTGCTTTCTGCTTATCATTTCAAAAAAGACTTCAAACTTCAATACTCCATGAATAATCATACACTCTCAACTAATATTGAATCATTATTTTCTGCTTCTATTGATTAAGTAGTCAAGGTAGTAGAGCAGTCAGATAATATCTATAATTCGTAGTCAATTAAAGAGTTATTTCATAGAAAAGGACTAAACCTTAGATTTTAATGGATTGTACTAATTAAGCTCAGGTTGAACTCATCTAGAGATTAAGTCATGATTGATATCTTACTAAGAGTAATGAGGAAGATAGTTAACGAGGAAATAAAAATGAAAGCATTTGTTTAACAACCTAATCCCTCATCTGCTGAAACAGGCGGCCCTGTGTTCGATGAATACTTTTAAGGAAGCTAAATAGACAATTACAAAGAATACTTGTGTACATTTATGAATGCAATTTTGAAGAAAAAGGTGCAAAAAAATAAACAGATATTTGATGAGACTCTACTTGGGTTATTTTTATCTAGAATGTCAGTACTTGGTTTGCTCTACTCTCTCTAAATGAGAAAAGAAGAGTTTATATATCTGGAATCAAAGGACATACTTGAAGATATCATAGATGCTCCCTAAAGAAACCCAACTTATTTCATGAATGCTGTCTAATCATACTTTAAAATTGATTTTAAGCCAGAGATTTTGAGGCTTTGTCGCCAAGATAAGCATCTATTCTTGTCTAAAGGACAACCAGTTGCCAAGAATGAGATAAAAACATTGAATCTTAAGATTCATAATTATTTCTCACTGAGAGAGCAGGCATATTTCCTTCTAGCAAGATAAATATCTAATGCTAATGCCAAAGAGTCTCCATCTAAGAAAATTGCATCAAAAATAAAAACAAAAACAGACAAGGATAAACTCAAATAATCATTTTAAAAGCCATTTAAGGATCAGAATAGTTCTTTCATATAAAATTCCTCAAGAGGCAGAGTAAACTAATCAGGAATTGGTCCACACAGTGTCCTAGGCCATCAAGACTCCACAATAGATAATTAAAACACCAACAGAGTAAATTAAAACCAGATTATTGGCAACAAAGAATCCCTATCCACAATTAGATAATACCATAACATGGATAAAGCTATTATTAATGATTCCGCAGAATTTGGGTCACCTCCAATAAATTAGTCTAAGTTGAGCAAACTTTAAACTACTCAGGATTAGATCATCGATTTCACAAAGCTATCAAAGCGTAGTAACTTCAAACCCACTCAGACAACTGAAATTATTTTACCTAGTGTTCTCTACAAGTTAAAAACATTTATTTCAAGTAATCCTATGTACTACTTCGATGATCAAACTAAAACATACATCGGTGATACGCTTACAGTCCTTAAGTCATACTATGAGATGCCTAATATTGAGGTTGTTGATGAATGGGTGATGTTTCTTGAAAGCTAGCTTAAAGATGTATACTCTGTCAACGGAGGAGAGTAAGTTCTGTTAGAGGCTTTCATTTATTAAGCTCTGCTTATTTACTTCTTCAAAAACGATTAAGAAGATCTATTTAAGGTACTTACCAAGATAAGGGAGAATCTACTAAGTTAATCACATTGTGCTCCAGAAACTATGATTTTATCACAAATACTAATAGGAATATACTATGAAGAGTAAAAGGATCAGCATCCGTAGGAAGCAGAGAAGAACTATTTAATAGCAATGATATGTATCCTTAATATGTATGGCGATCCTAGGGGCAGAGGAAACATAACGATACCTTACTCTCTTTATATATCTTGGAAGCTTTCATTGATTTCTCTAGCAGAAGATAAGAAGTTACATGATTCAGAGTTTGCTGAGGAATTGTTTGATGCCGCGCTAAAATGTCTTCCAAATCATAAAAGGTCATATAGAGATTAATAATTAAGATAGCTTCTTCAATCACAAAGTAATTCAAATAAGTAGAATTAGGATGTAGCACCTCCTTTATCGAAATATGAACTAGAGTTAGAAAAGGCAGAACTCGCGAAATAACTATTTGACATTAAGAAATATAAATAAAAGCCCTATCACCTAACATTTGCCAGCGGTGTGCCAAAAAATAACACTAATCTAGTAAAGCCCAAGTCAAATATCAACAGCAGTCGAGGTAACCCATAAAAATCAAGCAGTAATTACAATAGTCGCAGGGATAAACAAGAAGCAAGTATAGTCTATGTGTCCTCTAATAATAACTTCGACAGAAAAAGCCACAGAGGTGCACCCAATAATCTTTAGCTACCAGTAGACAAGAAAGATGGAATCAAGTCTAGAAGTCATATACCAGGTCTTAAGAAGAAAAATAATAATAATGAGTATGACATAGATCCAAGCGAGATTGACTTGGGAATCGATGATGAAAACAGACAATAATTCGTTGATGAGAACTTCAAAAACAATGAATGGTATATTGGAGAGTGCCCCTTCTAGCACTGGTCACTCTATAGATAGTAAATTGCTTAAATCCTCCAAGCTCATAATCCTGTGATAGCCAAAAATAATCTAGCATAGAGTCAGTATCAAAAGCAAATTTACAAAAGCATGCTTTAGAAATTCTTGCCTAAAGATATGTTCTATCAGTGGATACTAAAATTCAATCCTATGATGTATTAAAGCGGTATATAGTGGACTAGTGAGTACATTAAAGGAGCATTTTGCCAGAATTAATAAATGGTCTCTTCATCAGGTTCTTCAGCAGTGATTAGCAGTAATCATAATCTCAGCAGCAGTCATCATTCACTAAGCAGCAGCACACCAACCTCGGCCAAAGACAAGAGAAATATGCATATGGGAAGTTACTCACAGATCTTGGGCAAAGAGGTAGGAGGCATCAACAAGCAAGAAATGAGTGGCGTATTGTTCTCAATGGGAACTGATAACTTTGGCTAATTAGGTCTTGATGTTATTTCTCTGAATGACTAGTAAAATCATCAGCCTAGTTTAAAAGTATTATACCCGAGGATGATTGTTTCGCTGAGAGACGAAATAATCAAAGATATTTGCTGTGGTAATAGTCATACTCTTGTTACGAATTTGAATGGATAGGTATATGTTTGGGGAGCTAATTAAACAGGATAACTTGGCCTTGGAGATGAGGCACCTTCATTTATAAGAAAGCCAGTTCTTAATCCTTATCTTAGCAATATCATAAAGCTATCAGCAGGTTATGAGCATTCTTTAGCAATTAACAAAAATAATGAATTATATATCTGGGGAAGTGGAGGATTAACTGGTCTAAACACTTTAAAGCAACAGAATGTACCTGTCAAAATGGAATTTTTCAGTAAAACTAAGATTTTAACAGCCGTCTGTGGAGGTCTGCATACAATTGCGGTAAACAAAGATGGTGAAACATATTCATGGGGATTAACCGAGGGTGGATAACTTGGTCTGCCTCAAAGTTAAATAGTTTAGCTTTGTCAAGGTCAAGGGGAGGATCCATAAGTTTTGACGCCTTAAAGAGTTCCTAAGCTCGAAGGAATATTCATTCAGCAAGTTGCTTGCGGTGAAGCTCACACTATAGGAATGACAAAAGAGGGTCACTTGTATGGATGGGGATAGAGCAATTATGGTTAATTAGGACTTGGCTTTTCTGGAGATTCATTTGAACCAGGTCTAGGAATGGAAAAGAGTAAAGTCTATGAGCCAACCTAAATCACTGGATTGAATCATGAAAGAGTTACTAAGATTGTATGTGGGGCTACATTTACTTTATTCTAGACAGACAAAGGTGATCTTTACGGCTGTGGCGTAAATGACCTTGGTTAACTTGGACTTGATACATTTATGGAGGAGATGCAAATAGCAACATTAGAAAAAGCAAAGAAAGGTAAGCACAATCAAACAACGGATGTAATTCTGCCAACAAAGGTTATCTGTTTCTAAGGCATCGCTATTCACTAAATTGCTTGTGGTGAAAGTCATTCTTTAGCAGTAAGTGGTGATGGAATGAATATGCTTTGGGCGTGGGGCATGTTTAAGAATGGATAGCTAGGTTTGGGCGAAGTGACAATGAAGATGAATCCTAGGCCAGTTTAAACTCTATGTTCATCACAAATATAAAGAGTAGCTTGCGGAAGTATGCATTCATTAGCTCTGATTGGTGATGCGAGCCAAGTCAGCACTTTCTCTTCTTAATACTATTCAAATACTGATACGCTTAAAAATTACTGGGTTTGTGACCTCAGAGGTCTAGCTGAAAATCTCAACCATTTTAATTACGAAGGCTTGGATGACGAAGTTCCTGACGATGCTGAGGGAAAAGTAAAAAATCCTAAATGATTATATTTTAATTTTTATAATTTATCATACTTTCTTCTCATGGATATATGATTGCTTTATGGGGTTTTGGGGTTTTGGGGGG